TTGCCTTCTGCTAAACCACCAAGTGTGATGCCCCGATATTGATTGTTGAGGGTAAAAGTAATCAAAAATGAAATTTTTTCCGCAATCGGCAAAACGTATGGAACTCTGGCTCGGTTTAATTAAAGGAAAGGTGGCCTTAGCTAACTTCAACTCACCCCAACTTCTTGAGAGGATGTCGGTAAGCCCGAGCAATATATGCAGGACTTCTAGTTTTTTGACTGTGCTATTCAGTTTAATAAGACTAAGTTCTGAAAGTCGTAATTTTAAGGTAGGAATCATTTTTTGTGCTACTGCATATTAGATCCGACGAGGTGGCACCCTATTACCCCAATTCAGGCACTGTGACGTGCTACTGTCCACTAGAAATGTCCTCTCCTCACCTATCGTGTTGCATGGTTCGACTTCTGTTTTCTCGCGAGCGGGACTACAGCACCTTAGTCTGTGACGCAATTCCCTATCGAAACCAATAGCGTAAACTATCCATTCCTTAAGCACGGTAGCTTTTTATTTGCTAATGCAGTTTATAGAGTCTGCAACAGGGTCCGTATCCAATGAAAATATTTATGAACCCATGAGGCATTTTGATTATAGCGTAGAGAAATTGGTCACTTTCCTTAGGCCAAATGCCTAGAAGCCCTAAACTGAAATGTAACGACAGACAGGGGTCACAAGAAAGAACGAGCTGGCGAACCCAGAAAGAATATTTTCGAGCATGTTTCTATTAAATTTATTTGAATTCATTAGGTTGTCGAAAATCTTTGAGATAAGTTCCTACATCTTAAGTATTCTTTTTGTACCCTTTGTACTTTTTGCACATTTTGTATTCTTTTTTGTGCCCCTTTTGTTTGGCACGCGGTCAGAAAGAAGCCTGTTTATCAGCCGGCATCCTGAACCTAACGCAATATGTTGGAACTGGGCTGCCTGATAATAACCATTCTAAAAGATAATTTGGCGAACATTCGTTTGTTTTCGATAAATTCTCGAAAACAAAAGAAAACAAACGTATGTTCGCCAATTTATCTTCTGAAATTTTCAATGGGAATTTTCGCAAAATATTCTAAAAGAACTTAAGAAGGGTTCTTCGACTCGAAAATGCATGTCACAATTTGGATGGCCCTTTTAAGAGATGACGAATCTACTGTGAACCCAGTCCAAGCGTTCGTACCAATTTTCCATTCCTCTCTCCCATGACATGCGTGAGTTTATTTTAATTAGCTCAGTCAGTTAAGGCTGGTCCGTTTAAAAAAATACGCGAGCAGCGATTACCTAAGGTTTGTTACCTTGAAATCTAGGACTTGTCATTCAATCTTGTTTTGAACTAACAGATACCAGACCATGTATGACGGTTGAGTTGAGCAACTTAGCCTCTTAACATGAGTCATTGAAACCAAGCCGATGAAGTAGTTTGCCATGGTAAGCAACAAAATAGCCTCCGCATCAACTTAAGTGGAAAAGATAATTCGTGCGAAGCTTAACCAGAGCCAGTTGGACGAATGTAACTGCAGATTTTGACACGGAATCTGTGTATGTTCCTAAATAATGAGGTTTTGAGTGCGTCTTTTTCGGGTGGAGTGCGCCGTGCCCAAAGTTTCCAAGGACAGCTTCTTACAAAGTTCGGTGAGCCAAAGGCTAGAACAATCAACTAGTAAGCCAATGTATTTCCTCAATTTCTTTCAGAAAAAATGTTGGTTATTTCCCGGAAAAACTAGCGTGTTTTGCTTTCGTCTAACAGCGGCTATTTTTCCTACCTGACTAACGAAGTTCAACCACAGCCAACGGTGCACCAGACCGTGTGTCAGTTGCCAACAAAAAAATGGCCATTCTTGCCAATAGAGGAGAATATACGAGTTCCAGGCAGCAATTCTGAAGGAGAAGATGCGATCACTGGAACAAGGACTTTATTTTCCTGACGTTTCG